AGTCTTTCAAGCGTCGAATAGTTTTCCAGGATGAACCAATCAGAAGGAATGATGCGTGCCGTTGTAGCTTGCACAGGTTTGGATTCGGAGAGCTTTTCTGGTGCCTTTAGCAAAGGCTGTGGCCAGCTGGTTTCTGGTTGGCTAAGCCAGGAGGGCCCATGCCACCATAGGTGATGATCTACAAGCTGCGCCATGGTCAGTCCTCGTGAGGCACAATCAGCAGGATTGTCGGCCGTGTTAACATAACGCCAGTCGCTTACAGTAGTCACCTCTTGTATCTGGCTAACACGATTCGACACGAACTCTTTTAGCGCTCCTGGATCGGATCGTATCCACCATATTGTAGTCGTAGAGTCTGACCACATATAAGTAGATATAGAGGATAGGTTAAGCGTATCTCTTACCTTATTCATCACGCGAGGAGCAAGTAAGGCTGCACATATCTCGAGCCGTGGTACTGTAACTTTCTTTAACGGTGCCGCTCGTGTCTTCGACATCAATAGGTGAATGTGGACGGATGATTGAGCGACAACTTTTAAGTGCAGTACAGCGGCGTATGCGTGCGTAGATGAATCTGCAAAGGTATAAAGCTCATAGGTTTCATTTTGCTGGGATGTATTAAGTCAGCGTGATATGCGTACTTCTGGAACTGTCTTAAGCTCGTTGTGAAAAGATATCCATTTCGTCTGCAAGTCTTCCGGCAGATTGTCATTCCAATCTAGGCCTGTTAACCACAATTTTTGAATAAATATTTTTCCACAAATAATTACAGGCGCCAGGAACCCAAGTGGGTCGAACAGCTTAGCCACGTCAGACAGCCGTTGGAGCTTTGTAAATTTGATTACCGTGTAATCAAGCTTTAGTACGTAGGTCAGGGAATTGTCTTTGATAGCCCAGACGAGTCCTAAGGTGTTGTACTCTCCCTCTAGCTGAAACTGCCGTAAAGATTGAGTTTCAAGATCAACAGGATCAATGGTTTTCAGCACACCGCTTGGGTTGGAATTCCACTTTCGCAGGGCGAAGCCACCTGCGCGGAGAAGGCCTTTCAATTCTCGACGTCGTCTGCAAGCATCCCCGACTTTGTCTGCCTCCGNGCATCATGGTGCGTAGAGGCTAATTGCGTTAGATCAGAATCCGGTTTGACTGGTAGCCGCACAATATAACGACCGTCTGCAGCGCGACGANTGTCTTAAGCTCGTTGTGAAAAGATATCCATTTCGTCTGCAAGTCTTCCGGCAGATTGTCATTCCAATCTAGGCCTGTTAACCACAATTTTTGAATAAATATTTTTCCACAAATAATTACAGGCGCCAGGAACCCAAGTGGGTCGAACAGCTTAGCCACGTCAGACAGCCGTTGGAGCTTTGTAAATTTGATTACCGTGTAATCAAGCTTTAGTACGTAGGTCAGGGAATTGTCTTTGATAGCCCAGACGAGTCCTAAGGTGTTGTACTCTCCCTCTAGCTGAAACTGCCGTAAAGATTGAGTTTCAAGATCAACAGGATCAATGGTTTTCAGCACACCGCTTGGGTTGGAATTCCACTTTCGCAGGGCGAAGCCACCTGCGCGGAGAAGGCCTTTCAATTCTCGACGTCGTCTGCAAGCATCCCCGACTTTGTCTGCCTCCGTTAGAACATCATCCATGTAGAACTCATCAAGCAAAATCTGAGCAGCGTCAGAAAAGTTACAGCGTTCGTCAGCAGATAGAGTGTGCAATACTTTAATGGCCAGATATGGCACGCAATTGGTACCATAAGTGACAGTTTTTAATCTGAAATGTGTTGACTCTCGATGCGAGTTAGGTCGCCAAACAATAGCTGCAAATCAGTATCTCTCTCGTCCACCAAGATCTGGCGGTACACCTTGGCGATATCTCCAGTGAGCGCAATTCGGTATCGACGCCAATTTAGTACAACAGCAGTCAGGTCGTTCTGTAACTTAGGACCAGAGTATAAGCAATCATTAAGAGACTTACCACAGTTGCATCGTCTTGAGGCGTTGAAGACGACCCTTAATTTCGTTGTGCTGCTGGATATTTTATAGACGCCGTGGTGGGAGAGATAACAGATGGGCGTTGAACATTATTCTTCTCTAGTGATGCTCACCATATGTTACAATGATGCGTACTCGTTGATAAATTCTTCGTACATATCTCGCATGACCGGATCTCGAGATAAAGGTCGACGAAGATGATCGAGGAGACCAATCGCATCATGGTGCGTAGAGGCTAATTGCGTTAGATCAGAATCCGGTTTGACTGGTAGCCGCACAATATAACGACCGTCTGCAGCGCGACGAGTAGTGCGGTTGAAGTAATTCTGGACGAATCGATCATCTTGCGTTAGTGCGGGCGTTGAATTAAGCTCTTCCAACTCCCACAAGCTGCGAATAGTTCGGTCGAGATCGAGTTGAGTGTGATAGCAGTCGATCACATCCCGTGTCGTCACGAGAGATTGATTACCAGAACTGCCGAAAATCACCCAACCCAACCGTGTACTTTGGCCAATCAAATNCGTTAGAACATCATCCATGTAGAACTCATCAAGCAAAATCTGAGCAGCGTCAGAAAAGTTACAGCGTTCGTCAGCAGATAGAGTGTGCAATACTTTAATGGCCAGATATGGCACGCAATTGGTACCATAAGTGACAGTTTTTAATCTGAAATGTGTTGACTCTCGATGCGAGTTAGGTCGCCAAACAATAGCTGCAAATCAGTATCTCTCTCGTCCACCAAGATCTGGCGGTACATCTTGGCGATATCTCCAGTGAGCGCAATTCGGTATCGACGCCAATTTAGTACAACAGCAGTCAGGTCGTTCTGTAACTTAGGACCAGAGTATAAGCAATCATTAAGAGACTTACCACAGTTGCATCGTCTTGAGGCGTTGAAGACGACCCTTAATTTCGTTGTGCTGCTGGATGTTTTATAGACGCCGTGGTGGGAGAGATAACAGATGGGCGTTGAACATTATTCTTCTCTAGTGATGCTCACCATATGTTACAATGATGCGTACTCGTTGATAAATTCTTCGTACATATCTCGCATGACCGGATCTCGAGATAAAGGTCGACGAAGATGATCGAGGAGACCAATCGCATCATGGTGCGTAGAGGCTAATTGCGTTAGATCAGAATCCGGTTTGACTGGTAGCCGCACAATATAACGACCGTCTGCAGCGCGACGAGTAGTGCGGTTGAAGTAATTCTGGACGAATCGATCATCTTGCGTTAGTGCGGGCGTTGAATTAAGCTCTTCCAACTCCCACAAGCTGCGAATAGTTCGGTCGAGATCGAGTTGAGTGTGATAGCAGTCGATCACATCCCGTGTCGTCACGAGAGATTGATTACCAGAACTGCCGAAAATCACCCAACCCAACCGTGTACTTTGGCCAATCAAATGACTAGTTTTGCTACGCTGTATTCCGCTTAACAGAAGAGCAGCATAATCGCCAGCATTTAAGATGACATCAATCAGTTGAGGTACATTCCCAGTGGGATCAGCAAGGTCTAACTCACTTAAGTGTTGAACATCGTTCGGTGCAATAGCTACCGTCGGGGTGCGGTTTCCAACTCGAGGCAACACTAGAGCGATGCATGCAAGCTCGAAGTCGGATTTCAATGAACGTAGATTAAACGTTAATAACCCCTTTGCCGTAGCCACTCTATCACCGTTAGCCCCATTAATAGGTACCTTTACATTAGACTTCACCAAGTGTAACAGGTTGACTGCGGATTCGCTGATGACCGCTGCTTCTGCCCCGCTGTCCAGTAAAGCTCGTAAAACGACCTTGTGTCCGGACTCTGGCTTAACCTCAATCAGGGCTGTGCCGATCAGTATCGGCAGCAGCATATTAGGGCCTTGCCCTGTTGTGACTGCGTTATGAGAGGATGCAGCCTGTTTGCTGGTACTAGTCGCATTGAAAGCAAAGTAGTCGTACAGCATTTTGTGGTGCTTAGCTTGACACGTCTTGCAACGGCGCTCGGAAGAACAAGCTGATTGCTGGTGGCCGATGTGCAAACAGTTTAGGCACAGCTTAGCTTGTAGTGCGTAGTCATACCGTTCGTGCGGCGATTTATTGCGAAAAGCTTTGCAAAACATGATAATATGCTTACCGGAGCAGTTGGGACAGCGCCCAGATGTGGTATGATTCCCAGAAACAGCAGAGGTGGTGCCTAACTTCTTTGGAGTATGCTCCTTTACGAAGGGCTTCGGCTCGGTGTAGCTTTGGACTATTTCCAGGGATTGTGTTCTACTGGTAAGAAACTCCTGCAGCTCCCTAAAAGTTGGAATATCGCGGTTCGACTTTAGGGAGCGCTTCCATGCTTTGCGAGTGGTGGCATCCAACTTGTGAGTAATAGTGAACACCAACCGATCATCCCAATGCTCGATTGGCCGGCCCAAATGCTGCAGCATACGTATAGACGACGTCACGCCATCAAGTAATGACCTCAGCAGAGGCAGATTCTTTCGGAGCACAAGGAAGTTTGCTAATCACTGCTACATGAGCGCTGATTATCCGTTTGTTCTCGTACTGGGATTGAAGTAGCTCCCACGCAACCTGGAAGTTAGCATCTGTTGTGGTGACGTTATCAAGCGCATTTTTTGCCTTTCCAGTAAGGCTATCCTTTAAGTATTGCAAGCGCTGTGTGTTTGTTAGGGATGCGTTAGATGTAACAATGGAGATGAACAAATCTTTAAACGGGAACCAGTATAGGAAGTTACCATCGAATGGTGGAATTCGAATGCGTGGTAGTGATTGATATATCGCCTGTGTTGGTACGAAGGACTGCGACATCGATGTATCAGTGGGCAAATTCGTGCTGTCCAATAGATGGTGTAGTTCACCCATGGTCTCGGCATAGACGCACTCCACTGCCTCGAAGTCAATAGATGTCGCAATGCCAGCTGCCTCCCTTTCTTCAGGAGTGCACTCACTAACAACCTGGTCATGAAGACACACGAATTTTGCCAAATATTGCCCCAGAAGCTCCTTTCTCGCTTATAAAAAGCCCTTTGTTTGCTTTGCTTTTGCGGTTTTGCGGGTATTTATTGCGAAATTTAAAATTGCCGTCTTGCTTGACTGCAGCTGCTTAACCTTCCTATCCATGTCTAACACCAACGTAGTGCGTTCTACAAAAATGATTTCTGCGAACGCTGCTGCAAATGAATTTCAGCAGCACGATGTAAAAAGTGAGGTTATGTTGTAAGAGTCCCACCACACGTGCGTGCGGAGCAGATTCCGAAACTCGTTTTTTATGCTCAAACGCTGGGAATAACTTTTGCAGCACAGTATCCAAAAGCCGTGGATTCCCCGCAAGGGTTGCCAAAATGTTAAGAGTTTGTCGGTTTTCGAAAAATAAACACTAAGCCGAAGACTATATCTGATTTAGATATATTGAAAGAATTCTCGCTAGTACAAAGTAAACAATATGTCTATAGCTAGGTTAGCTGCGAAAATATATATGTTTCTTGCCTCAGATGAAACCAAGGATGGTAAAACCACCCGAGCAGGGTCGCATTTTCTCGGACTTCGAACAGGTTCAGAAAAAGGGTTATTGAGAAAAAAGTATGCGCAATAAAGTGTTAAAACACGAAGTTTTCAAATACATTAAATTTTTTGCTTTATTTATAAAAAATGTTGTTAATTTTAAACACATTAAATTTTGCTTTTTACTTATAAATCAATAAAACGAAATTTTTCACATTTTGCTTGGTTTTATGAAAAATTTTTCTAGAACTTCGTCAACTGCAAAATTGATTATTATTTATTTTTAACCAATTTAACAAAAAGGAGGAGGTTATCAATTCGTCGGAATATTTTTTGTTTATGTATGTTACCGCATAACTTCGGACCACGTTCACTGATTTCTATAATTAGTATTTTAAAGTAAAGGAGTTACCTCTAAGGTCGTCCCATACTAATTTGGTTTAAATCCAATCATTGCATCATGAAGAAATTAACAATAATCTAAAATTTGTATATGAGAATTGAAGTCGGTTTGTTTTCACCTTAAAAAATTACTTGTTTTATTTATCTTTGTGAATATTCATAGATGCTAGACCGTTCAGCCTTTCTTGACTTGAGGTATTTCTCAAGAATGTTTTAATCCTTTTCAGGCATGTAAAACTTCGTTCAGGTGTAGCTACAAAAACGGACAAAAGTGACAATACGCGTAAGATCTTAAAAATATTCTAAAAAGACGTTGAGCCTTATCATGAGTTTCATATTCCCCGAACCGGTTCACTTTTAATTTTTGGTTTCCATGCTTTTACTATGGGCGGATGACATATTTTCCGGTGAGTTTTTTTTTCACCTCCAAAAGAAAGTTTTGTTTCAAACAGTCGATGAAAAGTTACAAATAAACTGGACTATTTAAGGTATAGTACCAAGTTGACTCAGCTTTACTCGGAGCGCAAGTATATATATCAGGGGAGGGCAAGGCCGAGGCAGAAAAGAGCCACATGTAATTTGTAAATGCTACAAAGAGCCACATAAAACAACAAAAACTTTGATTTTTAAATAAAATTATTATTAGAAATGAAATACATTAATTTTATTGTTATTCTAACGTACGTAAGATAGATATTAAAGCAAATTCAAAAGATCCCTAAATTTTCAATATCTGGTTTTACGTCAGTTAAAGCCGTTCGTGTTAAATGTTAGTTAGTCAATAGGTACATTCGTTTAAAATCTCCAGTAAAAAATGTCCAACAGCAAAATTCCGGCGAAACGTCATCTCTCAAGAGAAAAATATGTAAAATAGTACGCGATCAGAAAATTTGTAGAAACTTGCAAGTTAGACAAAGAGCTGGTGGAAATTTTTTTTACATTCAAAAGTATAAAAATGAGAACGTTAGAAAACAAATCCCGAAGTCTTATCCTGTTCACTGACTAAACGAATAATTACATACTTCTTACAAATTTAATTAGTCGCATTTTACTATTTTAACTTTCAAACCATCAAATTAAATTGAAGGCTTTGCGCAAATTCCAAACTAGCTGTTTGATCAGCTGTTTTCTTGTTGGCAAAATGCTGTTGTCAAACATTTTTCCAGCAGAAACTAGTAGCCTTCCCCCAAAATGAAATGTTATTTTGTTCTCTCAATTTCCCCTAATTTGCAAGTTTTTTTGCGCACGCAAACACAAAATTCTGATAGTTTTTATAACTTTCAATAATTATCAAGTACGCAAATGCAACAAATTGTGAACGCTATTTTGACTTTACGAATTTCATTGGAATGGAATGGAAAATATATGGCACGCAGGTGTTTTCAACATCGGATATTTTAAATCCGGTCCTTGTTGCCGGAATTCAAGCAATGGCAAAGTTTTATGTTGCATTTCCAGTGCCTAATACTCTCTTAACTCCAAAAACTCTGACTCTTCTTCGGTGTTTTTAAAAAGGAGTATTTCGGATATTGTAAATTCATTCTCAGTTATGTTACATAAAAAAGGGTTTATGAAGTATGCAAGCGTACATTTAAATAATTTCAAATGGGCAAATCCTTTTCAAAATCTGCTTTTAAATCATGCGCAATATTTTTTTCTAGACATGGAAAATGATGAAATGAAAGCCAATTTTCATTCTCTAATTGCGGGTAATGTTCCGATCTCAATTTGCGTATATATAAAAAGAATAAAATAAAAAAGCAACACAGTGGAAAAGAATGTCCAGCAAAGAAACCTGTATTTTAAAAAGTAAAAAGGTCCAAAATGTTCTAAGCAAAGAGAAAGTAAAAAGAGCCGCAATTTGCTAAGCAAAGAGCCGCATTTGGCTCAGAGCCGCGTTTACCCACCGTTGATATATATGTATATATGGAGAATAGGAGCAACACCTTCAACAAAAAAATTGCCAAAAATCAACGAAAAACCCTAAGTCCTTCAAACTTGCACTTNTTTACTAAAATTGAATGGGCAGCAAAACTGCATACTCAATATCTTTATAAGGAACCTAATTTAAAACATCGAAATTTTTACGAAAGTTTGTTGGTTTTTTTTCAGATATTAACACGGTTTTTGTTAAAGAACAAACTACATTTTTATGAAAAAATAATTAAGGTTAAATGATAATACAATAAATAAACAAAACTTGTCAATATGTGGGTGTCCCATAGTTATGATCTGGACTATTTTTAGTAGAGAATTAGCTGTTCTATTATAGTTTGTTCTTTAACAAAAACCGTGTTAATATCTGAAAAAAAACCAACAAACTTTCGTAAAAATTTCGATGTTTTAAATTAGGTTCCTTAGAAAGACAACTAAACCAGCAGAAGAATTATACACACATTCAAAGATAAGTAAAACTCAGTATTTATGTTTGAGCCCATTTTTCTCAATGAGTATGGGATTAATTTCATATATCTCCATACGAAGTGTTCCAGTACTGTACACTTTTAGAGATATGCAGTAGGAAATTCGGCTTGTATGGTAGGTGACACGTCCTCTTTTACAATAGCTCCATATTTTCTCCATAGCTATGCGATTAATTTCATATATCACCACACCAAGTTCCAGTACTCTACCAAGAACAATTCTAGAAATAAGCAGTAATAAGAATTCGACTTGTATGGGAGGTGCCCCAGTATAAAATTCCAGTACTCTACCATGAACACTTCCAGAGATACTTATTATGAAAAATTCGGTTTTTATGGGAGGTGCCACGCCCACTTTTCAAATGATCCGAATTTTTCTTCATGAGTATGCGATTGATTTCATATATTTCCGTACCAAGTTTAAACATTTTTTCATGAACGCTTACAGATATGCAATATGAAATATTCGGGTTGCATGGGAGGTACAACGCCTTTTTTTCCAATAGCTCTAATTTTCTGCAAGAGTATGCGATTGATTTTATGTACCTCCAATTTTTATCAAGAGTATGGGATTGATTTCAAATATTTAAAACGCCAAAAAAATTATTTTGTGCTTAGTGCCTTTTTTAGTGCTTTTGAACTAAAATTACTCCGAGATAGTAAAAATCTGAAACAATTTGAAATATTTAAAGCTGTGGCAGCACTGAATTTACAAGAATCTATAAATATAAATGCACTAAAATAAAAACATGATTGATAAAAACTGAAGCTGCAAACCCACCTTATTGAATTCTATTCGCATTGAAAATGCTAGTACGCAGGTAAGTTAATTATTATTTTTTTCTTTTCTAATTATTTATATAAATTTAGATTTTTTATTACCACCTGAGTAAAACACATCGTTTCTGGGTGCTGAATCCAAATCTGGCCGCACAATTGCTCTAGCACTAGAATTTTAAGATATTAGGTCCATTTAATATAATTTTTTTTTTACGAATTGTTACTAGTACTTGCAAGTTTTTACTGGAAATGCATTCAATAACCCAAAATATTTGCAAGAGAGAGCGAATTCGAGAGCGTAACAACCCGAAAGAGCTGCAAATTCTTGCTAGTGAAAATTTTACTAGCAGGAATTTGCAGGAGTCAAAAAGTAAGGTTATGTTTCAAATTCAAATGTAAATAAACTGTTTAAGAGGATGATTTGATGAAACATAATTAGTGAAATGAAATTATGGATTAAAAATTTAAATCTATTGTATATTTGTTTATTTTTATGACGATGGGAACTATTCGCAATTAAAAAAGAAAATTGCGCGCCAAAACTTAACCGTCAGAAAGTGTCAAAATGGCTTAAGTGGCAAGTTTTTACTAGTTTGGCGTTCAATAACTTTTTCTGGAAATTTTCTCTTGCGCTCAATTTTACTCTATTTTTCTTTTACGCTCTCGCTGCAATTACTTACTGGAAAAGTTATTGAATGGACCTATTCTAACCTCAAAGTGTCAAAAATTAATTTTTTGCTTTTGTTAAATACAAAC